ATATAAATTCCATAGGGGTATTGTCTGGATTTGCATCCCAACTCTACATCCATATATACTAAGGTGCTTATGACAATGACCACCACAGAATAGATGTCTAATAAATATTTTTTAAACAAATGCATGAATGGAAGAAGAAAGGGGAACAGAAAGAAAACTAGTTTTCCATAAAGCTGTTTCATGTAGCCTCTCTGTAGAAATAACAGGGACAGGTGTTTTAAGCAAACTTATAATTCATGAAAATCTAAATTTACATAAAGGGTATGTTGAAAGGTGATTTTTCCACTTTACAAAAAGATCCATCATAAGAGTCTTTAAACAGTCTTCCCAGGTACATGGAAAGCAAGATTTTATTGATTCAAACCATATGTTTGCACTGAATTCTTTAGGAAAATATCTTTTATATAAAGCAAGGTTGACCTACAAGCAATTTCCTTAAGGCACCTAGCCCAGAATGGCCAACTCTCAAATTTCCTAGGTAATAGATAATGGGAGGCCTGGAATGCAGGGGATATTTGAAACCATAGAATGCAAAGCAATAATTTCAGCCATTTAGAGTTCTTGTGACTTTTCTCACAAAAATAACTAACTAATGGAGAGATGAATTAATGTTCTTGAACCTCCCCAACTCTTCTTTCTGTATGTCCGTGAAAGTAAAAAAGGCTGGGAAGTGACCCCCAGATAGGCTGATATAAGACGGGGCACCAGGCTTATATAATTCACCAAACCGATGCTTTTTTCCCAACTCCCCACACCCTCCCACCACCGCCACTGATAATTAAGTTGTCTGATTGCAAAACTGGAAAAAAGATTTCGGTGTGTTAATAAATAAAAGCAATTAACTTCTCTGGGTCTCAATTTCCTCATCTTAACAATGTGGGAGTCCTTTTGAAGATTATTGTTTTATAATTCTGTTCTTGAACCTACCCAAACTTTACAAAATAAGATAATTTATGACTGTTCTCTGTCTAATGAAATAAATTTCACAGCTATTTCTGCCTTCTTCTTGGAAACTTTAATAAATGATCATGGAGTTTAAATCAAAACATTTATATTATTTGTAGAATTGGTTGATTTGACTATTGATGGTTCTTGCTAAGAAGAAAATGCTTTGCAGAATTTACTTACAACTAACCTTTATCAGACTTTTTCCACTATGATAAAAACACAGTAAGCTGTTTTTGAGCTGCAGTACAAGTGAAATATTTTAGCAACAGGAAGAAAAAACAATTCACTGGTTGTGGTAATAAAGATCAGGGTAGACTCAGGAATAGGTTAGTTTTCCCTTCAAAAACAAGACTTCTTTCATCTCAGATAATCCAAATCTTCAAATTTAGAAGAAATATTTGGGACATAGAAGAAAAACATGCTTAATGTCTATGGAATTTGGGGCAATATTTTTACCCTCATCAACTTATTGAAGCATTATTCTATCCTCACTCCTCACAATTTTGATTTTTTTGGCCCAATTTTACTGTATTTGATGACATTTTGAGGGAAAGTTATTTCTCTAAGTGATGTACAAAGATATTAACTTCTCACATAAAGAAATTTAGACTCTTCTACATGGGTCTGAAAAGCTAAAGAATGTACACATGAAAACACACATTATTTATATATATCCTGCTTTGTAAGTTAAGGAGAGATCTTAAATATGTCAACAAATCTGAGTTATATTAGGAAATTAGTGATCTTATATCTTGTCTGTATTTTTTCTTTTCCTTAGTCTATAAATGACACTAGGTCATTTCTTCAGTGGGAAAGAAGAATTGATTTTTTTTTGAAGAATTGATTAAGAAATAGAAGGGGGACCAGGAAAAAAATGTCTGGGGGGTGATAGAGTGAAAATTCATAGTTGATCCACCAGAATCCCCAAACAAGACTGGATGCAGCCAAAGAATTACAGTGGAAGCAAAGGCAGATGGCAAGATGGCAATGGGGAAAGAGAAAGTTCATGAGCAAGAATTTACTAATTGAAATTATAAATTGAAAAATTTATAGAAGAGTCAAGACCAGGAGAGGCATCTGAGGAAAGCGGGGTGCTTTGAGCTCTAATAACAACAGAAATATGGGTATTAGCAATGAGATCTTCCATGCGTGATATCCAGTGCTGCCACTTGACTGACAGCCTCTACTTTGGACTGAAACACAATCCTAAAAGACAAAATATTTACCAATTTTTACAAAATTCTGAAGAAGATGGGAGTTTCAGGTTTATGAGTCAGGTCTTCATGTGAGGATATTCTGACTCACTGTGTATGTTGGGAAGTTGGGGACAGGGATGGGAATCAGGGAAAGGCAGTCAGGCTGAGCATGTGTAGGGTCCTCAGTTTGGATAGATGGACAGACACGTAGATAAATGGATACACAGGTAATTACATAGGTTGGGTGAGCAAGCTAAAGGTATACATACATTTATATATACAGAAGTAACATTTACAGCTATTCTTATTAAAGAAACAAAGGAAAATGGCATTTCCTGTAGTTTGACAAGAATCTTTAATGTAACTAAAGAGTATGGATAATTTAATGATTTTTTCCTCATTATTAGGAGACATAAGTTACTTTCATATGTGTTGATACCAAGACCATAGGAGATTACTTCTAAGGAAAATATCTGTTGGGGAAAATGCCTGTTATTTAAGAATGTGTCCTAGTATTAACCATAGCTTTATTATTGTTTCAAATGTGCACTTTTATTTTCCTAACACTGCTAAGGAAATGCAATACTCTTTTAAAGTATCATAATTGCAAAGAATCCTAGTGCATTGTTGGTCCGAAAGCAAACTGGTGCAGCCAATATGGAAAACAGCATGGAGGTTCCTCAAAAAAATTAAAAGTGGAACTACATCCAGATGGCCAACAGACACATGAAAAGATGCTCAACATCACTGACCATCAGAGAACTACAAATCAAAACCACAATGAGGTATAACCTCATACCTGTCAAAATGGCTAAAATCAACAATACAAGAAATAATAGGTGTTGGCGAGGATGTAGAAAGGAACTCTATGCACTATTGAGAATGCATATTGGTGCAGCCATTGTAGAAAACAGGATGGAGTTTTCTCATAAAGTTAAAAATAGAACTACCCTACAATCCAGCAATTGCACTACTAGGTATTTACCCAAAAAACACAAAAATACTAATTCAAAGAGATACATGCACCCTGATATTTTTAGCAACATTATCTACAATAGCCAAATTATGGAAACAAGCCCAAGTGTCCATTGACTGATGAATGGGTAAAAAAGACGTGGTATATGGAATATTACTCAGCCATTAAAAAAGAATGAAATCTTGCCATTTGCAATGATGTGGATGGAACTAGAGGGTATTATGCTAAGCAAAATACATCACTCAGAGACAGACAAATACCATGTGATTTCACTCATGGAATTTAAGAAAGAAAACAAAGAGGAAAGAAAAAGAAGAAGGCAAACTAAGAAACAGACTTAACTATAGAGAACAAACTGATGGTTAACAGAGGGGTGGGAGGGGAGAAGGGTGGGGGATGGGTGAAATAGGTATTGGGGATCAAGGAGAGCACTTGCTGTGATGAGTTCTGGCTGTTGTATGGAAGTGTTCAATCACTGTATACTACACCTGAAACTAATATTTTACTATATGTTAACTAACTGGAATTTAAATAAAAACTATTAAAAAATGGAACTAACCTATGATCCAGCAATTCTACTTCTGGATATATATCCAAAGACATTGAGTTCAGGATCCCACAGAGATATCTCTACTCCCATGTTCATTACAGCATTATTTATAATAGCCAAGATAGGAAACATTCTAATTGCCTATCAATAGATGAATGGATTAAGAAGATGCAGTGTGTAAACACATGCACAGATAACATGTATATATGCATATACATACACACATATAGATGCATATATATGTATATACATATACACTGTGCAGGCTGAAAAAGACAAATTCAGAGAAACAGTAGAGCAGTGGTTACCAGGCATTGGGGATAGGGGGAAATGGGGAGATTTGGGTCAAAAGGTAAAAACTTCCAGTTATAAAATGAATAAGTTTTGGATCTAATGTACAGCATGGTGATTGTAGCTAATAAAAATCTATTCTATATTTGAGTGTTACTGAGATTAGATCTTAAATGCTCTCACTACAAAAAAACAATAGTGACTATGTGATGGGATGAAAGTGGTAGCTAATACTGTGGTAGGAATCATTTTGCAATTTAGAAATGTATCAAATCAACAGTGGTACCTATTAAATTTACACAATGTTGCATGTCCATCATACCTCAATAAAGCTGGAGGAAAAAAAAAAACAATGTATTATAATTGCCACTGTTCCCAGTTAGCTACAAATATCGCAGGCATGAGGAGTTCTGAGAGCATACTGACCCTAGGCTGATTTAGGATGATGGGGCTACCTGAGAGAGTGTATGTGGTATGAAGGATACAGGGCTCTGAAGGAGACACCGCAAATTCTAATCCCAGCCCTTCCCTGAATTGGTTTGGGTAAGCAAGGACGAAAGCCTCATGTGCAAAGTGAGAGTAGTAAACTAAGTGTTTGTCGAAGTCCCTTGAAGCACCATCATTATCTAGTCTCATGAGTTTAACTTTAAATGTCAATGCCACTTGCAGCTCTGGAGGCCTATTTAGGAGTTCAGTCAGTTTTTAGTCATATATTAATGATAACCTTTCAGTTCTTTCATTTCTAGTGAATTAATGGTTTGAGATTTTTACTCTTTAACCACATGACTTTGTGCATGCTGCACATTCAGTATCTCAGTGGAAAGATGGAAGGTTAGAAGAAAGAGGAAAAGGAGGGGAATTTAGTGACTTTTTTTTCCTCTTTCAATATATTATTTTACTTCCATTTTACGCAAAATGATTTTGTACTACTTAGAATAAAGAATTATGGTTTGATGGTTCATCTTATAAATATTTTAAATTTACCACCAAAAGAACATGGTTATTGTTAACAATCATCTTCCCTTTCATATTCTTCTAGATTTGGAAAGAAGAAAGATGACAGGGGTGGCAAGGCTGAGCAGAAGGGTACTCTGAAGCATGGTGGCCTGAGGGAAGAAGAGCTGGAAAAAATGAAAGAAGAACGTGAAAGGTGAGCAGAAATGCTGAGCTCCTGATTTTGTTTGGGCCTATGGCCTGTGTTTATTTGGTTTATTGCATCAATCAACTGGAGAAATTTTATTTTAAGAAGCATAAAGTTTGACCAATATACAAGGAAAGGTACCTGATATATATGGAACCTCCCTGTCTGAGGAATTTTTATTATATTTGGAGAAGAAATTAACTTTATGTTTTTATTATATTGGTATTTATAATTCCAAAATATGCTACCCCAGTTTTGACTATATCAGTGTATATTTTCCCTATGGTTTAAACAATAAGTTTCTTTTTTTTTTTTAATAAAAAGGTCATTTTGATGTTGATGTTTAGAACTATCAAATTTCCATAGTCTGTTCCTAATTTCTGTCAAGCTGTTGTATGCCTTCTTAATTTTATTCTGCTAAATCCATTTGGGTGGTGTAATTTGAGAAGTGCATGTCCTTCATTTTTAAAAAGCCAGTGTCTTTTATTAGGCTATCAGCAAGTTGCAAAGTATGTCGCCCATCTGTTAAAGGGCCGGTTTCGTTTACTGAAATAATGACAGTTTGCAAGGGCTGAATTCTCCTGTTTGAGGAGCTTAATGTTCCATTTGGACAAGAGGCCCTTCACTTATCTTTGAGGTGAACTCTGGCACTTACCCCAAGTCAATGTGTAAATGTCTGATTTTGAAACATGTCATTGAATATTCATATTTCTCCTGAAAATTCTTCACCTTCGCAACCAAATGGATCTTGGAGAGAGACTGAGATTATGACAAAACTAGCATATAATTTTAAGTACTTGATTCTGATTTTATCGTGCACAAAGTCAGATTTGTCCAACTTGCCACTTATTAGTAACAATAGCTCTTGCAGTTTTTAAAGAGTCCATTCTTGTCCTTTTTAATACTCCAGTAATACGTACTAAGAAAATCCTACTCATTCATCCTGTTTTCTAGCACAGAGCAAGTTGAATAGCTACTGTTAGCGTCTGACTGCTGTCTTGTAGTCTGTTCCCATTGAGAGGGCTGACTTGATCAATAGCAAGGAGAGAAACCCTACTTAGTCCTTTCTCATTTTAAAGACGTTGATCAGCTCTTGTTTCCAGGATCAGTGGAGCAGTTAAAAGGAAATCAAGTGTGTTACATTGTTGTTGACTATTATTCACCTGACAGAGCTGCCCCCCAAAACAGGGAAGATGAATTCTCCACTGTAGCCCACGATTCACTTATCCTGTAAAGTAAAATGTAATTCAGGCTGAGATTTTAATGCATCTATCAGCAAAGACATCTAGATGTTGAGTCCACATCATAGATCTTTGCTGCTCCCCTAACTTCACTTACCCAGGCACCACATCTTTGCCTCATCTTCAGGAAACTGAGCTGTTTGCCAGAAAGCAGACTCTATATTTTTTGTAGCTCAATACTTGCTTAGGGTTGGGAGGGTTTACTCTTAGTAGCTAGGGAACTGTGTGCCAGCTAGAAAATTGATAACCCATAAAATAAGGTGGGTTGTCTTTAAGCAAGAGTTCATTTCCTTTCTGGGGTTGCCTTAAGGAAGCAGGTGCCTGAGGGAGTTTTGTTCTTAAAAGCAAGGCTGTAAATTCACCTCAGCTGGCTATATAGGCTTCAGGTCCAATTTTCTTAAATTATGTCTGGTCAAAATATTGAAAGAACTGTGCTGTTAGCCTCCACTTAGGCCACTTCCCACACATGAACACGTAAAACACATCTGATATGGGTTTCTTAGAGACAAAGTTATCTCAATCATATGAGAGGGGAAGAAGTTGGAGGAGTTGATTTATGGTTAGGTCCTACAGAATTAATGACCAAGAGCATTTCAGCAGCTCAGGAGCAGAGGACCACAGCGGGTGGAGGTGGAGGCTCAACACTTGGCATTCCTCCCAACCCAAGAGTCCCATTTCTTGGCTCACCATCATCTGTAGAAAACCAACTCACACCCCTTAGAGAAAGTGAGAGTATTACTCGTTGTGACATGGCCATGGAAATAAATAGAATAAAATAAGAAACAGTGTATAAAAGTTCACAAAGTTGTCTTTTTTTCTAATACCTTTAGAATTTGTTACTTTAAGGTGATTCAAACTGTCCTAGTGCTTATTTGTTTCATTCTAGCTGTCACAGATATAATAGTTTTCCACTAACATATCCCTTCTCCAAAGGATTTTTTAAAAAAATTTATTTATGAGAGAAAGGGAGAGAGAGCCAGCATGTGGGGCAGAGGAAAGGGGAGAAACAGACTCCCCGCTGAGCAGGGAGCCCCATGCGGGCCTCAAGCCCAGGACCCTGGGATCAATGATCTGAGTCAAAGGCAGACACTTAACCAACTGAGCCACCCAGACACCCCAAAGGATTTGAAATAATTAAATAAAATATATATTGTATGGTGCTAGAGCCAACTTGTATCAGCGTGTGAGAAGAATTTTGGGAGCTGGTTGTTAAACCACTGGGTAGCTTAAAATTGGTCATGGTGGGAGTAATTTACACCATAGAAGTTGGCAAATGCAATAAATTGGGTTTGTGTTTTTAAAAAGCCAGTTGATCAATATACGACTTAGGGTTTATACCAACCCTAGTATATCACCAAGAAAAAATTATCCAAAATAAAGTTAAATAAAAAAATATTCATCTAAATAAAGCCGGGATCCCTGGGTGGTGCAGCGGTTTGGCTCCTGCCTTTGGCCCAGGGCACAATCCTGGAGACCCGGGATCGAATCCCACGTTGGGCTCCCGGTGCATGGAGCCTGTTTCTCTCCCTCTGCCTATGTCTCTGCCTCTCTCTCTGTGTGTGTGTGTGACTATCATAAATAACAAAATAAAAATAAAAAAATAAAAAAATAACTAAATAAATAAATAAATAAACCCTTATGACTTCTTCTAGCTGTGTTTCTCAAAGTATAGTCCATAGACGACCTGCATAAAAATGAATCACATGGAGAGCTTGTTAAAAATAAGATTCTTGAGTCTCACATCAGACTTGCAGAATCAGAATCTTGGGAGTTGGAGCCTAGGAATCTGTATTTAATCAGCAAGCCCAATGTGATTCTTCAGCATTCTAAAGTCTGAGAACCACTGACTTGAAGGGACAGGATTTGATTGGAACATTAAACTATCCTTATCCTATGAAAAATCACATAAAGATTTTTTTTCCCTTAGAGAATTGAATAAGCCAGTCTAAAAATATTGTCATCTTTCTCATTTGCCCTCTCTGAAGCATCCTACCTTACTGGCATATATATATATATATATATATATTTTTTTTTTTTTTTTTTTGCCACAAGAGAGAAACCCTTGCCAGTGCTCACTCATCTAAGAGAATTTGGAATGCTTACTCCTGGTATCATCCATACACACAAAACTTACAAAAACAGTAAGATCATTAAGAAAATTTTGGAGACATGGGATGCTTGGGTGGCTCAGTGGTTGAGTGTGTCTGCCTTTGACTCAGGGTGTGATCCTGGAATCCGGGATCAAGTCCCACATCGGGGTACCTGAATAAGCCTGCTTCTCCCTCTGCCTATGTCTCTGCTTCTCTCTCTCTCTGTCTCTCATGAATAAATAAATAAAATCATTAAAAAAATTTTTGGAGACATAAAAAAGTATAAAGGAGATTGATATGATCATGAATAATTCCATAAATAATTGTTAATACTTTATGATCTTTTTACTATATATATATTTTGAAACTTGATAGCCATGCTGCATATATCTCACTTTTTCCACACCATTAAATTGTGAGCATTTCCCCATGTCATAATATTTTGAAAATAAGCCAATTTGAGGATCAGTATACCATAACTTACTTATCTTCTATTGTCAAACATTTAGTCTGTTTGAATTTTTCACTCTTCCAAATAAGACTTTGATGAGCATCCAGATACAAAAGTCCTTATAGATGACCTCTTAAATCGCATAGTTTCTGTTCAATTTCCTCATAACTATTTTGCCTAAGGATTAATTTAACCTCAACTCTAAATTTTAGGATTATATTATCCATCTTCATTCCTCCCATTATTTTTCTTATAATACCCACCACATCTCATTTTAATGTACCTTCATATTTAATTCCTGATCAGGAATTGGTTTTAGTGCTATATAGGAATAACCTTAGCATATAGCCATAGCAATAAAAAGTAAAAAAAAAATTCATAGGAGTTGGAGTGAAGTATAAGGTTAAATTGGAGGAATACAGAGTCTAGAACAGTTGTTCTCAGGAAGGGACAATTTTGTTCCCAAAGAAACATTTGGCTGTATCTGGAGACATTTTTGATTGTCACAACTCTGAAGGAAGAATGGGCACGGGAAAGGAATTGCTACCTCAATGTGCTGGGTAGAGGCCAGGAATGCAACCAAACATTCTACAATGCACAAGACAGTCCTGTCCCTTAACAATGTTTGTCTTACTCAAACCGTCAGTAGTGTGTAGGCTGAAAACCCCTGTTCTGACTCTGGACTTCACAGACATTAGAAATTTCCTTGTCTCATGATATCTGTGGATAACACAGAGAAATACCACCAAGTGACATAACCCTAAAATTTTTAGATATTTGAGGAACTGTAGCCAAAGATTGCTAATGAATATTTCATCAATATAAACTTGCAAGAAAAAAAAGTTTTTCTTCAAAACTTATTTTTAACTCTGGCCTGCTGAGCATTGGCATCGATGCTGTTGATCAGATTGTGAATGCCAAGAAGCTGCAGGGGTTGATAATGTGTTGATGACAGAATCATCTGGAACAATGGACTGAATCAAACATAGAGAAACTTAATAGGAATAAATGTAAAGTCTTGATTTTAGGTCCAAAAATGAACGGTACAAACACAGGATGTGGAACGTTTGACTTAATACCAAATATATAAAAAAATCGCCTGATGGTTTTAGTTGAGGGTAAGTTTAGCATGAGTCAACATGAGGATGTGCCTGCCAAAAACTTAATCCAGTCCTAGACTACATTACTGGAAGTTCATGTGTAACATGAAGGAAGAAATAATAATTC